CCACTTGAAGGGAGCTGCACAACAGAAGTGACGGTGAGTGAGACGAAAACAAATCATGGAAGGCTTACAGGCACAACCTTGGCGTGTCTGGAGTTATCATTTTCACTAGGTGAACATATTATAGGCGACCTACAAAACAACATCAAGGAAACAAACAACGGAGTCTTAGGAAGCTAGCGTGACTGAGATCTTACCGCACCTTGCAGCATGGTAGTGTGCATATATCCCAGCATGCGTTATTATTGCAGGCCTGTAAACACAAAAACAGTAGTGCACAAAAAATGTAACTATAAGAACACGGATCTCAGGTCATATGTTTGGTAGAAACAATACGCTGGCTAAACCGCGCGGTTAGCAAGAATATTAACTTACGTAGCTTGGTCAGTGCAGAAAACTACGTAACCGCATGAGTCGAGAACGATGAACAAAAGAAAAATACTCTGGAAAGTCAAAACGGGAAAGTCGAAACACCTACGAAGAGATGGCAGACGTACCTCGAGTTAAGAAACTAGCATCGGGATAGGAGTCACGGGAGCTGACCGACGGGAGCAGATACGTCAACCGAGCAGAAAGTAGTGAATAAAGAAAGACGGGGTATGCTAGAGTAATAGGCGTTCAAGGGAGGAAGATTGAAGGGAGGGAGGGAACAAGGAAGAGCGAGCGCTTGGGGAGTGAACCTCCAGGAAAGTGGGAGAGGGGGGAGGGTGAGGTCGAGTTCGCGCACCGCCAGGAATGAATTGGAACCCAGTAGAAGCAACCAGCGTGGCATAGAAAACTTCGCGTGGCAAGAGACATGCTCGCGGAGATGGCAAAAGGAAACTTGATTCGCCGAGAATATATCGCTGTGTGAGTTGGCAGGCTCGCTCGACTGCCAACGCAGCTGGTAACAAATGAACCTGGTCAAACCGCGTGCAGGAGGGATACAACGATTGGCGGGGTGGGCTGTACTGCTGCCAGCTCGAGCTGGCAGTTTGAGAAACTGCAATGCTGTAAGTTTCTCTATCCTACTGTACACAATAGTTTCTCTCCGAAGACCAGCCAACTAACGTGTTCACATTTGTTTGAGGCCCAACTTTGAAAGTAGAAAATTAAACAAACAAACTGTCACAAATGGTAACAAATTTAGGCAATATCTGATCAATAGATCAAATAGAGGTTTCTGACTGCACCGCCCTTAGTATTTGAAACTAATACATTGATCATACAAACAACTCCTCAATTAGCATCATACACCACAGTATGTATGAGATTTCTATATATTGCTCCATAAATGAAAATAGGATCGTACATAGAATGTTATTGATACGAACCACTAGGCGTTTAGGGGCACTTCCTATGCAAACAGTGTAATGCTTATGTCTCGTTCTTCTTGATAATATCGTTGAGATCTGTCTGGTAGGTTCTTAACACCCTCGCACATTTGCAAAAAAATGCAAAGAGACGTTGATTTGGCACCGCGTAATAGCACATGCCTATCATTGCACACTTCTCCATCCTCGCATGTTAGAACATCATGTCTCCCTACCAAACGCGGCGAATGACACCAAACCTGACCAGCACGCCAAGACTATATTAAATCGTTGAATGATCAAAAGAAACACTATTATAACTAATAAATGGACGTTGGTTTGGCATAACATGTCGAACGGGCCTACTCTTGGACAGTTTTAGGCCAGCAATCGCACAAACAAGCGTCAGGAGCTGCATAGTCGTGTTAACGAGCTCCAATCAGTTCATATGGCAAGGGAATAGGATGTACTAGGGAACTCTGTGAAGAAAAGTGGCAAACACAAAACCCAGACGTTGAAACAGTGACATGATGCGGCTGGGCCTATCCTCGCACAGATTCGGGCCAGCAAACGCACGAACATGCGCCGCGAGCTGCGTAGTTGTGCTAACGAGATGAAATCAGTTCATATGGCTAGGTAACAGGATGTAGTAGAGAGCTGTGTGAAGAAATAGTGGTAAAAAAGGCATCCAGGCGCTGCAGCAGGTGATGGGGCCGCAGGGAAGGCAGCTGGGCCGCAGGTAAGGGTGGCGAGGCCGCACTTGAGGGCGGCGGGGACCGCAGGTGAGGGCGGCGAGGCCGCAGGTAAGGGCGGCGAGGCCGCAGGTGAGGGCGGCGGGGACCGCAGGTGAGGGCGGTGAGGCCGCAGGTAAGGGCGGCAAGGCCGCAGTTGAGGGCGGCGGGGACCGCAGGTAAGGGCGGCGGGGACCGCAGGTGAAGGCGGCGGGGCCGCAGGTAAGGGCGGCGAGGCCGCAAGGGCGGCGCGCGGGGTCAACGGGTGGCGTAAGGCGCCACTAGGGCGGCGCGCGGGGTCGACAGGCGGCGCAGGGGGGGGCCGCTAGGGCGGTGCGCGGGGTCGACGGGTGGCGCAGGGGGCCGCTAGGGCGGCGCGCGGGTCGACGGGCGGCGCAGGGAGCCGCTAAGGCGGCGCGCGGGGTCGACGGGTGGCGCAAGGAGGGGCCGCTAGGGCGGCGCGTGGGGTCGACGGGCACCGCAAGGGGCCACAAAGGGCGGCGCGACGGTAGGGAGGGCACACGGGGCGCGCGCGACTCAGTCTAGTCTAAGGCGCGCTCCGGGCAGGAAAAAAAAAATCGTGGTGGGCCCTAGGTAGCGTTCCCACTAGGGAACCTGCTCTGAAACCATGAGAAGAAACGAGAATGAATGAACTATGAATGAACTGAGTACAAGTACTAACCCTAATTGGGTTGTACCCCTTATGCGCTACCCCACTATAGCCTACACAATAAGCACAAGCTATATGTTCTCACAGGGAGGTGTCGAAATAAGACAAGGGTCGTTGAGTGATGTAATGGTTGCGAGGGTTACCAGATCCCGAATGCAACTCTTGAACCCCTTTGCGTAGAATTTCGGTTCAGCGGAAAAAAAATGGGTGAAATCGGCACGGTTGTTGTCGCTGCCAAAACATTAATGCCGGGTTGCGAAATTCGTTCCCACCTTTTGCGAAGTTGACAGTTTCCAACCAGATTATTCCCAACCAGAGTTAGGAAGGTCGAGGCAGTTTTGGGCTGTTTGGGACTCCGGATTTAACGGCGTGATCAATCGTCCATTGCTTATCGAGTTAATGGAAAGATGTGACGATTGTTCATTTAGGGGTTGTCTTGATTGTCGCTAAACGTCGCATGTTAGAAATTCGAGTACACCCCTGTTACGGGTGCAATGAATCGAAGTAGCGAGAGTTGCACTAAGTTGTCAAACGAGTACAAAATGTGAGCGAAGGTATGAGCGAACATTTATGCGCGAAACATGCAAACGGTAACGCGGTGCGTGCGAGCTAGCTAGTGCTAAGCTGGCAGCGAGGCTCGGGCTAGTCCCGAAGCGTAGGCTGACACGGCCGGGCCAGCAGTGCGAGGCTTGGTAAAACAGTGTGCCCGAAGTTGGCGAAGCTCCGTTAGCAGTAACGAGCGAACAACGGCTGCTGTACGCGATGTCGCAGGGCGCGCTAAGGAATATCGAGAAAATTCCTTACACTACCCCCCCCACCCCCCCTCAAGAAGCCCCCTCCGCTACGCGAGTGCGTGTATATCGCGGAAGCCCCGGCTCCTCAGGTACACTTGCAGGGCAGGGTGGTTTTCGATGTTGGCCAGGGGCACCCAGCTATCCTCAGTTGGCGTGCTGTCCTTCCAGCAAACGAGGAATTTAATCCTCTTGATTCCCGAGGGGTGTCGAATCCGATGGCCCTGGATTTTTTCGGGCTCGATGATCGGCTCCAATGCAGGGCGAGTCATGGATGGCGGGCGGTGACGAGGCAGTTGGCTTGTGGTTGAGATGTATGGGCAAAGCAGGCTGACGTGGAATGAAGCGCTGATACGCAAGTCCGTCGGCAACAGTAGGAGGGCTGTCACTGGGTAATCATGTGGCTGATTTGGAATGGTCCACAGTAGCGGGGTCGTAATTTCGGTACGACGGGCAGTCTTAAGTTCTGTGTGTCGAGCAGTACGTAGTCTCCTTGTCAGAACATTATAGCTTATACATTTGTGTAGGCTGTATTGGGGTAGCCCATATGGGGTACAACCCAATTAGGGTTAGTACTTGTACCCAACTGTTTCATAGTTCATTCATCCATTCTCACTTCTCGTTATGTTATCGAGCAGGTTCCCGAGTGGGAATACTGCCTAGGGCCCACCACGTACTTTTTCCTTCTCTGCCCGGAGCGCGCTTACCTCCTAACCCGAGTAGCGCCCCGAGACGCCTTAGTGGCCCCCCTTTTGGCCGCCCTTACTGCCCCTCGAGCCGCCCGCTACGGCCCCGCTACGGCCCCGTCGGCCCCGTTACGGCCCCGCTTTGGCCCAGCTAAGGCCCCGTCGGCCCCGCTTAGGCCCCGCTACGGCCTCGCTACGGCCCCGTCGGCCCCGCTTAGGCCCCGTCGGCCCCGCTACGGCCCCGTCGGCCCCGCTTAGGCCTCGCTACAGCCACCGCTACGGCCCCGCTTAGGCCCCGTCGGCCCCGCTTAGGCCCCGTCGGCCCCGCTACGGCCCCGCTCAGGCCTCGCTTCGGCCCCGTCGGTCCCACTTAGGCCCCGTGTCGGCCCCGCTACGGCCCTGTCGGCCCCGCTACGGCCCCTCTTAGGCCCCTGCTACGGCCCTGTCCCGTCGCCACCGCGGCCCCGCCCACCCTTGCGGCCAGCCTCCATCTACGACCCCGCCGCCCAGCGCACACAGCGCCGAGCAGCTGAGCCGCCCGACCGCCCGAGCCGCCTAGCAGCCGAGCCGCCCGACGACCGAGCCGCCCAGCACCGTGCAGCCGAGCCGCCCAGCAGCCGAGCCGCCCGACAGCCGAGCCGCCGAGCAGCCCGATCGCCCCACCTGCCTGGTAAGAGCCCAGTCTCTGCCACTGCCCTGCCCTGCCTCACTGCCCTCACTGCCTGCCTACTGCTGTTATGGCTTCCCCTAGCGTTCTCACTTTTGACGCTGAGGGTCGGGCAGTGGACTTTGAGGTCTGGGTAGATGATCTGCAGCTTTTTCTACAGTGCGATATGGCAGACGGCCTCTCTCTGTTTGACCTCACTTCTGGTGCCTCCCCTGCCCCTACAGCTGATGCTGACGCCACTGTTCGCTCACAGTGGGCCACACGTGATGCTGCTGCTCGCCTTGCTGTTCGCCGCCACTTACCGACCACTGAGCGTGCACACTTTAGCCAGTACAAGAGTGCTCAGACCTTGTACGACGCTGTAGTTGCACGCTACTCTTCCCCTGCCACTGCTGCACTGAGCCACCTCATGCTACCGTTCCTCTTCCCTGACCTTGCTGCCTTTCCCACTGTCGCTGACCTCATTACGCACCTCCGCATTCTTGACACTCGCTACCACACTGCGCTTCCTGCTGAGTTCTGCGCCAAGAACCCCCCCCCCCCCCCATGTACATCACCCTCTACTACATAGTTACCCGGCTCCCTGACTCTCTTCGCGTAGTCAATCACCACTTCCTCTCTGTTTGCCCCACCAGTCTCACCGTTGACCTCCTCGAGAAAGCCCTCCTAGCGATAGAGAAGAGCATAGTCGCTGTAGGAGCCTCTCGTGGTGACCCTCGCACCCTCGTCTTTGAGGGGTGTTCTCCCTCCCCCCTCTTGCCCTTTTTCGCCTCTACTGCTCCGGCCGACCTCGTTGGTTTCGAGTCAGTCGGCGCTGCGTCTGCCCCGAGTGGGAAACGCCGCACCGGCAAGGGCAAGGGGGGCAAGGGCACTAGAGGGGGTGGAGGGGGCGGTGGAGGTGGTGGTGGAGGCGGTGGAGGGAGTGGGGTTGGTGGTGGGAGTGGTGCTGGGGGTGGTGGCGGCGGCGGCAGCAGTGGAGGCGGCGGAGGCGGTGGAGGTGGCGGAGGGAGCGGAGGCGGCGGAGGTAGTGGAGGAGGCGGAGGTGGAGGTGGCGGCGGAGGCGGTGGAGGCGGCAGCGGAGGCGGCGGCGGCGGTGGTGGAGCGAGTCACGACTCTGCGCCGAGGAGTGGCTCCGGTGGTGGTCAGCGCCAGCAGCAGCAGCGGAGTGGTGTGACCATGTCCCCTCAGCAGCTTCGTGAGTGGTACACTGCACGCCAGCGCGGTGGGGGTTTTGGTCTCTGCTCCTACGTTCTGCGTAGCGGCGACCGCACTGGTGAGCACTGCGGAGGTCCGCACTCCACCCAGCGCTGCTTTCGTCGCCTGACAGACGCGTGGCGTCGCTAGTTCCCGGAGGCGTCAGAGATCCCTCGCTGGGGAGATCTGGCCAAGGCCGGGGTTGCTATCTTTGATCTTGACTTTGATGCTATTCTTGCTGCCATGTATGCTGTTGCTGATAGTGTTGAGGGTGCCTGTTACCTGTGTGTACCGCATGACCCGGGCATTGAGGCTACTGCGCTAGGTGCTGGTGAGGCTGCTGCTCTAGGTGCTAGTGCGTCTACTGCCCCAGGTGCCAGTACGTCTGCCGCCCCAGGTGCTGGTGCGTCTGCTCTCTCAGGTACTGCTTTGGCTCAGGCCCTCCACACCTTCACCTTGGACTCAGTCCCGCTCCTTCTTTCGAGACCGCACCACTCTTACGCCGCTTAGTCGGCCGGTTGCAGTCTCCCTGGCAGACCCCTCCTGGGGGTCCTGTCCTTGCTAGCTTCTCCACTGTCCTTCCGTGCCCTGCAGCCCCCTCTGGCACCCTGTCTGGTCTGTACATCCCCTCGTTCTCTACGAACTTGGTGAGTGGAGCGGACCTACAGGATCGAGGGGTTGACAAGTTCACTCCTGCGAGTCAGCGAGTGAACCACTGCACGTGTGCTCGGACAGGCCGACACTTGGCCACGTTCACACTTGGCCCCCTGCTCGTGTCGTCTGCTGTCCCACCAGACTCTCCTTTGGCACCACCACCTTGGTCACCCCTCCTTGCCTCGTCTCCGAGGCATGGCCTCCCGTGTCCTTGTCTCTGGTCTTCCTCGGTCTCTCCCTCCCCTTCCTCCGGGGCCTGGCCCTACCTACGTCCCCTGCGTCGAGGGGCGACAGCGCGCCGCCCCTCACTCCTCCGAGTTTCCTCCGACAGAGGCTCTGCTGCAGACTCTCTACATGGACGTGTGGGGCCCAGCCCGCGTCAGTGGGCAGGGGCGAGAGCGGTACTTTCTGCTGGTCGTTGACGACTACTCGCGTTACACCACAGTCTTCCCCTTGCGCAGCAAGGGTGACGTCACTGAGGTGTTGATCGACTGGATCCGCGCAGCTCGTCTCCAGCTCAGAGAGAGTTCCGGCTCGGACTTTCCCCGTTCTGCGTCTGCACTCGGACAGAGGCGGGGAGTTTTCCTCTACCAGTCTGGGCGCCTTCTGTCGTGCACAGGGCATCCGCCAGACCTTCACGCTTCCGGCCTCTCCACAGCAAAATGGGATTGCTGAGCGCCGTATTGGCATGGTGATGGACGTCACTCGTACGTCCATGATGCATGCGGCTGCCCGCCATTTTCTGTGGCCGTTTGCGGTTCAGTACGCCGCGCATCAGCTCAACCTGCAGCCCCGGGTCTCCTTGCCAGAGACCTCCCCCGCCTTGCGGTAGACAGGGAAGGTTGGCAATGCGTCTGCGTTTCGGGTCTGGGGATCTAGGGCGTTTGTCCGCGACTTGTCTGCGGACAAGCTGTCCCCCCGTGCTGTCCCTTGCGTCTTCCTTGGCTTCCCCCCCGACGCGCCTGGCTGGCGGTTTTACCACCCCACCACGCGCCGTGTTCTGTCCTCCCAGGACGTCACCTTTGACGAGTCGGTGCCTTACTACCGTCTCTTCCCCTACCGCACTGCGCCCCTCCCCCCGCCGCCGCTCTTCCTTGCGCCAGGTGCTACCCACGTAGACCCCCTCCCTCCTTAGGGTCCTGCCCCTTTAGGTGTGTCCCAGGTAGACGCAGTCGAGCCTTTCGAGGTAGCTGTTGACTCTGGTGCTGCTAGTGGTGCTGAGCTTGCGGGTGCCGGGTGTGCGGGTGCCGGGTCTGGGGGTGCTGAGTCTGGGGGTGCTGAGACTGGGGGTGCTGAGACTGGGGTGCTGAGCCTGGGGGTGCTGAGCCTGGGGGTGCTGAGCCTGGGGGTGCTGAGCCTGGGGGTGCTGGGTCTGCTCGTGTGGCCGCCGGCGTTGCTTCGTCGAAGCGGGAGCCGCTCTCTCCACAGGAGCTGCGCGAGTGGTTTGCCCGCCGCTGGAGACGTGCTGCTGAGTTTGGGGGTGCTGCTGGAGCTACTGGAGTTGGTCCTGCTGGAGCAGCTGTCGGTGCTGGTGCTGCTGGAGGTGGAGCTGCTGGGGGTGTTGGCGCTGGTGTTTCTACTGGTGCTGGTGCGTCTGGGGGTGCTGCTGAGGCAGCTGGTGCTGACGGTTCTACTGGAGATGGAGCTGCTGGGGGTGTTGGCGCTTGTCTTTCTACTAGTGCTGGTGCGTCTGGGGGTGCTGCTGGGGCAGCTGGTGCTCACGGTCCTACTGGAGTTGGTGCTGCTAGAACTGGAGCTGCTGGGGGTGTTGGCGCTGGCGGTGCTGCTGGCACTGGTGCTTCTGCAGGTACTGGAGTTGGCAGTGTTGGAGCTGGAGGTTCTGCTGGCGCTGGTGCTGCCGCTGGGGGTCCTGGTGCTGTCCTTGCTGGTTCTGGAGGAACTGCGCGGCCGAGGCCATACTTCGTTCCCCTCCTGGAGCAGGTTCTTGGTCTCCCTCCCTCTACTGGTCCTCCTCCACCCTTCGAGTGTCCACAGCCTGTCCAGTCACAGTTACAGCCCGCCTCCCCGCTACCTGCTCCTTCTCCCTACACTGGTCCTACTGGAGGTCTTGCTGAGCGTCGTGAGCCTACGTCTCGTCCTGCGTCGCCTGTTCGTGCTACTCGCGCTAGTGGTCGTACTGCGCGTCCGCGTCCTCCTGTAGTCCCCGGCGTACACCAGATGGCACTGCGTCCATCCACTCCTCCTCTGCGTGTCCCTTTGCTGTCTCCTCCAGAGTCCTCTCTTCCTTCGCTTGCTGACCCGGAGTCCGACTCCCTTCGCGCTGCTAGTCCTTCGGTCACGGGCCTTCTTGCTACTGTTGTCACTAACCCTACCTTTGATTCCACTGCTGCGTCTGCTCTAGTTGCTGAGCTTGTCGACTTCGTTGCTCGCTGTTGTCTAGACTACGCTGCTCGTCTTGTTGCTGAGTCTGAGTCTCTCTATCCTCCGTCCATCGGGGGTGAGTGTGATCTTAGCACGGACGTCCTAGAGGACAGGCAGGAGGAGTTCCAGTGCTTTGCGGCTGCTTTGCCCCATCTCGTGTCCACGCTGATTGCCCCTGAGGGAGACCCGGATGCACCAGACATCCGGACTCCTCGATCGTACGCTGAGGCGATTGAGGGTCCCTACTCCTCTCAGTGGCAGTCGGCCATGGACGCAGAGATGGCTTCCTGGAAGTCCACAGGCACCTACGTCGACGAGGCTCCCCCACCTGGGGCGAACATCGTCAGTGGGATGTGGATCTTCAGGGTGAAGCGGCCGCCAGGCTCTCCGCCTGTCTTCAAGGCGCGTTACGTGGCTCGAGGCTTTTGTCAGTGGCAGGGAGTTGACTACTTTCAGAACTTCTCTCCCACCCTGAAGATGACCACTCTTCGGGTGCTGCTGCACATAGCCGCTCAGCGCGACTACGAGCTTCACTCTCTTGACTTCAGCACAGCTTTCCTGCAGGGCAGCCTGCACGAGGAGATCTGGCTGCGCAGCCCTCCTGGCTTCACTGGGTCGTTTCCTCCTGGTACCCAGTGGAGCCTCCGGCGGCTAGTCTTCAGTCTCCGCCAGGTGCCCCGTGAGTGGCACGACACACTGAGGAGTACACTTGCGGCTCTTGGGTTTGCTCCTTCTACAGCCGACCCGTCGCTGTTTCTACACACCGACACCTCTTTGCCGCCGTTCTACATCCTCGTGTACGTCAACGACTTGGTCTTTGCCACTGCTTACACTGCTGGACTCGCCCACGTGAAGTCCGAGCTGTAGAAGAGACACACGTGCAAAGACCTCGGTGAACTGCGCAGCTACCTTGGTTTGCAGATCAACCGGGACAGAGCACAGTGCACCATTACCCTGACTCAGTCACACATGGTGCAACAGGTCCTTCAGTGCTTCGGCTTCACGTACTCCTCGCCTCAGGCCACTCCTCTGTCTACTCGCCACTCGCTCTCAGCCCTGCCTTCGGATGAGTCCGTAGAGTCGAGTGGCCCGTACCCAGAGCTTGTTGGCTGCCTCATGTACCTGATGACCTGCACACGACCTGACCTTGCATACCCTCTTAGCATCCTGGAACGCTATGTTGCTCCTGGGAGACACAGACCAGAGCACACGGCTGCAGCAAAGAGGGTGTTGCGCTACGTGTGCAGTACGTCGGGCATGGGGCTAGTGCTTGGAGGGCGACGTCGAGTAGTCCTCACAGGTCACGCTGACGCTTCTTGGGCTGACGACCAGGCTACGCAGCGGTCGTCACAGGGTTACACCTTCAGCCTTGGCTCCGGCTCTGTTTCGTGGCGGTCTACCCGCTCGTCCTCTGTTCTTGGCTCCAGCTGTGAGGCTGAGATCTACGCGGGGGCCATGGCTGCACAGGAGCTACGCTGGCTCACCTACCTTCTTACTGACCTAGGAGAGCCGTCTCTTTCTCCTCCAGTTCTGTACGTAGACAACAAGGCCATGCTGGCCTTGTGTCGGGAGCACAGACTGGAGCACAGAACGAAGCACATTGCTCTCCGCTACTTCCTTTCTCGTGAGCTGCAGCAGCGTGGTCAGCTCCGCCTCACCTACGTGGCCTGTGAGGCCAACACTGCTAATATCTTCACCAAGGCCCTTCCGCCTCGTGATCATCAGCGTTTCTGTACTGTGCTAGGTCTTGTGCCTACCTGGCCTCACTTGCTCAGTTCTTGATCTTGTTTGTACGGTATTCTTTCTATACCTGCCCTTGCTTGTTTTACCGTTATATATGTGCTCTTGCATGTGAACTGGCCTTGTGGCTCTACCCTTGTGCTCGGACTGTGTGATGACTTTGTGAACCACCCTGAGCTTGATTTGCTTTGTTTTGCTTTGCTTTGCTTGACTGGTCTTTTCACCGCTTGTTCTCCCCCACTTTGCCTATGGGGGTGTGTCAGAACATTATAGCTTATACATTTGTGTAGGCTGTAGTGGGGTAGCCCATATGGGCTACAACCCAATTAGGGTTAGTACTTGCACCCAACTGTTTCATAGTTCATTCATCCATT